GAGCTTATACAGAGAAATATAGACGATGTTCGGGGGTGAGTGCAGTGAAGCAAGTGAGGCCGGGACACAGGGCGGGGAGTGTTAGGGAGAAGAGGGGAGTCCATAGGTGCTATTCGACGTCCGCTGGTCAGTGTTCCTTCTTGACACGGTGACATTTGTGCCGAGACCTAAGGGAAGTGAGGGAGCCAGCGGACAGGTATCAGGAGGACGGGTGCTCCAGGGAGAGGGAAGAAGAAATGCAGAGGCCCTGGAGTAGGACTGTGCTTGGCTTTTGTTGAGAAATAAGCCCCAGCAGATCTGTAGGATCTGGAGGACGTGGCAAGGGTTTCAGATATCACGCCTCACGAGATAGAAGACATTGGTAGGTTCGAAGCCAACCAGATGAATCGAGTTGCCTTGTATCTTGAAAGGCTCATTCTAGCTGCTGTGTGAGGGATAAACCATAGAGGGGACAAGGACAGAAGCAGAGGTCAGTTAAGGAACTATGTCCAACAAGCTTTATAGACAGGTCAGATGATGCTTATGAGAGAAAGAAGAATCAAGAATGACCGCAGGGGACTGGGCACAGGGAGAGGAAGGACTTTGCTAGCGGTTCACAGCTAGAAAGTGGCAGAGCTGGGACTTAAACTCAGGCAAAAGATAAGAATAAAAGACCTACATTCAAATCACAGGTCGGCTACTGGCCAGCTGTATTTGTCTGCTCAGGCTGCTCTAACAAAATGCCACAGGCCGGTGGCTTAAACAACAGACATTTATTTCTCATAGTTCTGGAGGCTGCAAAGTCCAAGGTCAAGGTGCTGGCCTATTCGGCTCCTAGTGAGAACTCTCTTTCTGGCTTGCAGACGGCGGTCTCCTTGTGAGAACGCCGGTCAGCTAGCTCTCTCATATCAATTCTTATAAGGGCATTAATCCCATTCATGAGGGCTCCACCCGCATAACCTAATTTTCACCAAAAGGCTCCTTCTCCAAATTCTATCACATTGAGCATTAGGACTTCAATTCAACCCATAGCACTAGCCGAGTAGTCTTAGATGAATACTTTAGTTCATTCTTTTTCTTTCTTTCTCAGTCAGCTAGCTCTCTCATATCAATTCTTATAAGGGAACTAATCCCATTCAGGAGGGCTCCACCCGCATAACCTAATTTTCACCAAAAGGCTCCTTCTCCAAATTCTATCACATTGAGCATTAGGACTTCAATTCAACCCATAGCACTAGCCGAGTAGTCTTAGATGAATACTTTAGTTCATTCTTTTTCTTTCTTTCTCTTTCTTTCCCCCTCCTTCCCTTCCTCCTTTCTTTCCTGTCTGCTTAAAACAACCATTTTATTACTTCTCATGATTCTGTGGGTCAGAAGTTCAGTCTGGGCACGTCGAGGACAGCTGGTCTCCACATGACGTCTGCTGAGGCCGGACCATCCAAGACGGCTTTTCCTCTCTCAGTTCCAATGCCTCAGCTGAAATGGCTGGAATGACTCGTATAAGGCCCTGTATCTGGGGCGTCAGTTCTCACTGTCGGCTGCTTTGCTTTCTTCTTCCCCATGGGGTCTCACAGCCTCTCCCTCTTCACATGACGTCTCCTTGTCACTTGGCCTTCTCACAACATGGGGGCAGCAAGAGGCATGGCAGGCAACAGGAAGGCAGTGAGAGCTGCCAGGTCTCATGAGGCCTGATCTTGAAGTCCCAGGCAGCACTTCTGTCTCATTCTAGTGTTCCTTAGTTCCTCTGAACCCGAGGTTTCTCATCTCTAAGAGATGACAATAACACATCTCCAGATTCTCATTACGAGCTCTTATCACATACTGGGCCCTTCCTGGGTACCCCCTACGTTAGGTCCATTTGCCCGTTTAATCTTCACAGTCACCCTGGTGTATAGGAGCCAGATTGCACTGGCTACTGAGAAGGATGGTTAAATTTTCAGAAAATTTGCAAGTAGTTATTAAACCCTTGGTATCTTCAAAGTGGCCTTGTGGGAGTATTTACACCACAGAAATTGGCAAACACACAAATCAGGGCCTTGTTTTGTTGTTTTCCAGAGAGCTGGTTTACCAGCACACCACTGTGGGTGGGTGGGTGGGTGGATGGACGGATGGACGGATGGATGGATGCATGGATGGATGAGTGGATATATATAATTTCAACCCCCTTTTACAGATGAAGAAACTGAGCCTCAGAGAGGTTAAATTTTTGTCCAAAATCAACCAATGTAGTAGGTGTCAGATCTGATCTTGGAGCCCCAAATCCTGTGCCCTTACCGACGGTGCTGTCCTGCTTCTAGAGATGAAAAAATGTGTATGAAAGAGATTCGGTAACAGGCAAAGCTGTATACATATTCGTTATTAATCTCAGTGCAGAAAAATATTTCATCTCTATCCATTCTTTATACATTTACGCTGCTGACAATTATCTGATTGTGTCTCCCCTCCCTTCCTCCTCACCCCCATAATACTTCAGATCATCTTTCCCATGTAGGTGCGTCTCAGAAATTCTCTGTTCATTTCTTCCGCTTCTCCGCATCACACTCCCCCTCATTTACCACCCCTTCCAGAGTCAGCCCTCTGTTGTTTGCTTGTTTCCCGTTTCCCTTTTTGTCCCACCCCCCCCCAATCCTAGCAGTAAGGAAATCAGAATAGAATCTGCCTCCCCGCCCCCTGTATCAGAATCCCAGGAGAGAACTCTCGGTCCCTCAGTCCCGCAGCAATTGCTGCCATCCCCACTTCACGGGTGGCAGGGAGACCAGACAGCTCATAATCTGATCTCCGTCCCTGTGCTCTGACACCCCGGAGAAACCACACGTTCCATATGGTGGTCGTCAGAAATAACATGCTTGAGAAACCTGGAATTATAAAACTGCTTAATTAGAGAGAGATGGTTTCACTGGGATATGCCCAGTTTTCCCCGGTGGTTTTATCTCCTCCAAGTGGCCCGCCCCCGGCAGCTAATTACTACCTTTAGCATGGTGCCACACAGGCACTCAGTCCCTTTATTTTATCTTCTGTGACACTGGCGCTTGCTTATAAAGACACAGCCTCTCTTTGATGTTCCAACTCTCCTTCATCAGCAAACTCTGTGAAGTTGATGTCAGTAATGAGGGTGTCATCTTTAGCTTCAGAGGGCCCCAGTTATTACATGAGCACCTACTATGTGCTAGATACTGGTGATATGACCAGGAACTAAATTATCTTTGCACTGAGGGGGCTCCCCGTCCAGTGGGACAGACAGATACCAAAATAATGTTTTAAATATTGTGAGAAGTGCTCCGAAGGAGTGATTTAGAGGGTGTAACAGGAGCACCTAATTTAATTAAAGAGTTGAGGAAGACTTCTCATTGGAGGTGACAGTTAGCTAAGACCCAAAAGATGAATGGGTGTTAGCTTGGCAAAGAATCGGGGACCAGCATTCCATCTGCAGAGGAAGAGCTTGGCACATATAGTGAAGCCACTAAAAAAAAGGACCTGAGCCCGCTCTGAAATTTTGGGGATGTGTTGGAGTCTTTATCATCAGTAATGGAAGGAAAGAAGAGAAGGAAATTCCTAGAAATAGACTTGCTGGAGCAAAGATTATTTATATTTTTTAGGCCACGTATGTCTAGGCCTTATGTTTGTTTATTTATTTTAATCAGGTTTCTTGAGGTATAATTTAAATACAATAAATGCACAGATTTGCAGCATATATTTCAATGAGTTTTGGCAAACGTGTACACTCACGTAACCACCATCCCAATCATAAGATAACATATTTTTATCACTCCCTAAAATTCCTTGATATCACCTCACAGTCGATTCTCCCCACCCCTCACCCTAGGCAACTACTGATCTGATTTCCATCACTATGGGTTAGCATTACCTATTCTGAGACTTCCTATAAATCAGGATTGTGCAATGTGTGCTCTCTAATAACTGTCTCCTTTGGTTTAACATGATGCCTGTGAGATTCATCCATGTCGTTGTGTATATCAGCCATTTGTTCATTTTTATTGCTGAGTAGTATTCTACTGTGTAAATATACCACAATTTGTTTGTCCACTCTTCCTTTGATGAGCAGTTGGACTGTTTCCAGTTTGGGGGTATTATGAATAAAATTGCCATGACCTACAAGTGGGCATATGTTTTTATTTCTCTTGGGTACATACCTAGGAGTGGAATTGCTGGGTCATAAGTAGGTGTTTGTTTTTTATTGGACATGACAGGCTGGGGCTATTTTCATCTCCATTTTATAGCACAGGCCACAGAAAGCTTGGGGGACTTGTCCAAGGGAAGAGGAAGAAGGGAAATAGAACTTGTTGAGCACTGCTGTGTGCCAGGTATAGCGTGAGGTGCTTTTCCTGCTTATCTCTTTCAATCCTGAGAACAACCCCAAAAGGTAGGAATCGTGACGTCCATTCTGTAGATGTAGACACTGAAACTCACAAACATGCAGCAAGATAAGATTCAAGCCTCGCCCCGTCTGAGTCCTCAAGTCCATGTTCTTTCACCAGATATTATCCTGCCTCCGTGGTGACAGTAGACATTCTCCTGGAATGGAAAATGCATACCTTCCCCTGCCTGCCTCTCAGCCTGCCCTTACCTGCGTCCTGTGGTCCACCCTGCCCCATGTCCCTGTGATGCCTGGGTCAGCCCTCTAGAGACGGAGGTGATCTGTGTGCGGGGCAGGGACTATGCCCTCACATTTGGCTTTGAGCCTCAAAGCCACAGCAGGCACCAGGGTCACTACCCACCCTCCAGCTCTCTACCAAAGGTGTCTGGTTTCTCCATCTTCGAAACACTATCCTCGGGGCTCTGATCTTCTGGGCTGGTGAGCAGTGGGTGAGGGCAGCGGGCAGGGGCCACGTCTCCCCGGTCATATCTCAGGCCCATTAGGAGCAAGCCTGAGTGCTTTCCAAAGCTGATTAATGGCCTGCCTATGACCTGGAATGTCATTACTGCCTGGGCTGGGGGCCCCCCGGCTGGGTCCTTTGGGTCTTTACTGCTAATAATAATTGATGCTTTCTGTGTGGTTTCAGGGAAAGTTCTATCTGGTCATCGAGGAGTTGAGCCAGCTGTTCCGCTCGCTTGTCCCCATCCAGCTGTGGTATAAATACATCATGGGTGATGACACCTCCAACAGCTACTTTCTGGGAGGGGTCCTGATGATCCTCTACAGCCTCTGCAAGGTGAGGTGCCCAGAGGCTGGAGGGCTGGCCTACGGAAGGCCCCATCCACTAGCCGGGTCTGGGGGGCAAGTGGAGAGCTTGGAATAACACCCTAATCTCTCTTTTTTCAACTGAGGTAAAATTCTTACAACACAAAATTCAGTGACATTTAGCAGATTCAGAGTGTAGGGCCACCACCACCTCTCGTTAGTACCAAGACATTTTCGTCACCCCAAAAAGAAACCTGGTCCCCATTAGCAGTCACTCCCCGTTCCTCCACTCTCTCCCCCAACCCGGCCCCTGGCAACCACCTGCCTTCTAGCTATTGCCATGGATTTGCCTCTTCTGGATATTTCGTGTAAATGGAATCGTATAATACGTGACCCTATGTCTGGCTTCTTTCACGCAGCATCTTGTTTCCAAGGCATCTTTACGTCATAGCAGGTGTCAGTACTTCACTCCTTTTTATGGTTAAATCCACCCCGAGTTCTTGCCCACAAAGCTCACCGTGTGCTGTCCTTTCACGCAGTCTTCTTCACAACAGCCTTTCGAGATACCTGCCATTATCACTCCCATTTTATGGGTGAGGAAACTGAGGCTCAGAGAGACGTATGTAACTTGCCGGGTACCACTCAGCTAGAGATGACGGCGTGAGTGTCAGACCCGGGCAGCCTGCCTCCAAAGCCTGCAGTTCTTAACCCACAGACAGCACTGCCGCTGAGTTCGTTTTCTGTTCCTCTTAAATTGCACACCCTCAGCTCTGCACATCGGTATGCAGGGCTTCCCTTTTCATCATTAGTACAAATCAGTTTCTACCTCCCCCGCTTCCCCCCCCACCTGCCCCCCAAGAATAAGTACATCTTTCTCTTTCTTTTTCCTTCTCCGTTTCTGGCTTTAGAAAATCCTGGGCGATTGCATGGGTCCTCTCCTCTTTCCTCCTCCCAGCAGGACTAGTCAGGCAATCCATGCAGTGTCAGCCACTGGGGCTTATCTTGCCTGCTGATCCTGACCGACTGGTAGTGCCTGATTGGAGTGCCAGATGGAGGAGGATTATCAGGCCTTGGCTGGGCTCAGAAGAAGAGTGCTGTGATCGATTAGCAATGCCTGCCCTGGGCTTGGGAGCAGGGAAATGCAGTATGCATGCCATGTGTTTGCTGTCCTGGCCCAGGTAGCGTGGGAGAATGCCCATATAAGGCAGGAAGGCCAAAGCCAAGCAAAACTGATGGGAATGAGGAGTTTCAGAGGGGAAGAAGTGCCTCGAAAGTGCTCAGAGGCAAAGGCGGGCAGGGAGCGGGGCGTCTACGGGAATTGTTCGGGAGTGGTGAGCGAGACCCTATCCCACCCTTGCATACTTTTCAACCATCACCCGCTCTCCTTTCAGTCCTTCGACATCTGTGGCCGTGTGGGTGGAGTTAGGAAAGCCCTGAAGCTTCTCTGCACCTCTCAGGTGAGTTGGCTTCACGCAGTCCTAGCCGAAGTCACAGGAACCAGAAGCCAGAAACCGATCTCGGCATGCTTCTGAGGGTATCGCTCCAGTGAGGGGCCGCAGCTGTGTTTGTCTCTCTCCCTTCCCACAAACAGAATTACGGAGTCCGGGCCACTGGGCAGCAATGCACAGAAGCCGGCGATATCTGTGCCATCTGCCAGGCCGAGTTCCGGGAACCTCTGATCCTTATGTGCCAGGTGAGCAGGGCTGGGTGGGGCCCTCGGAGGCTGAGGCTGGGGGACCGGCAGGCTCCACCCCATGCAGAACTCTCAAGTACCTGTCCCTTGATCAGACCTCGGGGTTCTGGGATTCATCTTTGGGAGCATTGTGGTCAGGACTGGAATCAGCCAGACCCAGGTTCAAATCTCAGCTCTGCCTCTTACGAGCTGGATGCCAGGTTTCTTCACCTCTCTGAGCCACGGTTTCATTAGTAAAATGTCAAAAATGAAAAATTCTATGTGGTGTCGTGTCAGGATATCCTGAGTGTGAATCCCAGCAGCACTCTGGTGCCTGGGCGGATCACTCCATCTCCCTGAGCCTCGGTTTGTCTCATCTATAAAATGGGTATCACAATAATGCCTGCTTTGTAAAGTTGTTACTAGGCTTAAATGAAAGCATCTCTGAAAGAGCTAAATTTAAGATATTCAGCCATAAAAATTATTTTTATTATCGTTATAATTATTATCACCATTTGTTTTTATTATTAGTTGTGAGTCACAAACCCATAGCAATAAGTACTGATCAGCCCCTCCTAACCTCCTAAATGTAGCCCTCCCCTCCTCTTCCTCCTGACATCGGGGGCTAAGATGTCAATTTAGCAAATGTGTATGAGTCAAGCATCCTATCAGACACCGGAGAGGGGAGGCAGAGGGCATGCAGACCCTGTCCCCTCTCCTGGAAGCCCACGGTCTCCTTGGGGAGACAGACACATACATAAATAACTATGAAACAAGGCAGGCGGTGATAAGTGCTGTGTAAGAGAGATTCATGCCGCTAGCGTCCCAGGGGGGCCAGGATAGAGAGCGATGAGCTCCTGGTTGGAAAGGCTTTTTGGAGGAGGCATAGTCTGCAGACTAGAAGGAATGAGAGAGCATATGGCTCCACCCTGCCACCACCTTCCAGGGGTGAGAAGACAGGAGGTAGGGTCTTTTTTGGCATCAGCAAAATTTTTTCTGTTTTTGCTGTTTGGAGATTTTAGGAGGTTCATTTTTTTTTCTTCATTTTTTAATCTTATTTATTTTAACATTGAGACTATATTTGCACGATTCAAAATTCAGACTGAGGAATTCATGAGTGAGGAGTCGTGACGACTAAAAGCCATGCAGAACCCGGTTTGGATCCTGCAACAGAGCAAGGACATGGGTAGGAAAACCAGGCTGATGAAATCCAAACAAAGTCTGGAGTTTAGTCAATAGCAGTGTGTCGGTGTGACAAGTGTATGTGGCAATGCCAGGTCATAATATTAGGGGGAAGTAAAACCGGATGAGGGGTATATGAGGACTTTCTGTACTAACTGCAACTCCTGTCAGTCTAAAATTATTTTAAAATAAAACTTTCAATTAAAAAATGTTTTAAAGCTATAAAAAGAAAGTGATGGCAGACCTCCTACCCTTGTCCCCAGCTCCCCAGTCCCCTAAATACCAACACAGGCAACCATTGTTACCAGTTTCCTTTATCTTTCCAGAGACGCTTTATAAAATTTAAACACACACACACACACACACACACACACACACACACACACACACACACACACGAGAACATGTCTTTTTCAAAAACAAATAAGCCA